CGGCAGCAGGCTTGGTCCTGGTTGTGTGTTGGGCGCAACCGGTGCTTCTATTTTAATAGGTAGCGAGTGGTGAGGTCATGTAGTCGTGCTGCAGCGAGGTCAGTAAACAAAAATAGGTAAACATTTAAACATGCGTGAAAGTAAAAAGTAAGAGAAGAAAGTAAACACATAAAACACATAACAATATAATAAACAAAATGCAAGACATAAAAAATACCGAGTATGATGCTTTTTTTCGATTGTGAGCTTTGCACGAGAGTAGTCGTGCATTCCATGTTTTTGGGTCGGCGCACAAGCAGCCGCGTTTTTAGTTGCCAATGTGCCGTGCTATGGAGTCTTTTTTTTTTTTTGTTTGGGCAACGCGTGCGGTCGGCGGCATGAGGCAGTCGAAGAGTAGCACTCATGCGCTTGTTCGGCGATGGTGGCTGAAGCGGCCCAGAGAAGACTTAGCGCCAACGCAGCATCGCCAACGCCCATCTCTGCTCCGCGGCCGTCGGTTCCTCCAGCGCCGCAGCGTCTCGGCGCGGCACTTTCCTGGCGGTTGTTCTTCTGGTTCGCATCGTGTGGGCCACGTCTGGCGAGCGCCCAGGTAGTTCCTTGACATTTCCGCGAGATGGAGACCGCCCCCGCCCGCTGGAGTAAACAAATACATAGAACAATTTAAAAAAAAAAGGCGATGGCCGGGCCGCCGGCCCGTCCAGATACCCGCGGACCCGGTCTGACCAGCGCAGGCCGCTGTCGTCGCTCTGCGCTCCACCGCGGGCCCCAATGGGGGCGCGGGCGGCGTCTCTCACGGTGCTGGAGAGCGCAGGGCCGTCGGGCTCGAGCTTCCAGGCCATGTCCTCCATGCGCCATGCCGCGCCCTTCTGGCGCCGGGCGGCGCCGGTGTCCGCTCTCCCGAGCCAGTTCCATGGTGACTTGTAGAGTTTCCCTGAAGAGCGTCAGCGGCGAAGCTAGAAGAGTAATTCCGGCGCGCTGGGGGGCTAGTTGGCAAAAAATCTCGACGGAAGCTTTGCATGCATTTGCTCGGTTTAATCCCGATATCTCGAGATTTCAACATTCGTTAGAGCTTTAGTACTTTTTCCCCCATCTTCGATATTGTTCCCGCTCGCCATCTTAATCTCAGGTCGATCGGGTACTTATTGCTGCCAAGAAGCATCCAGGCGGGATCGGCTGTTCGGGTCATCTTAACAGGTGCCGTCGGTTTTCTGAACTTAACTCGAGCTGTAGGGGAGCTACAGAGCTGGCAGGCACACCTAAGGCATCTAGAATCATCAGGCGCGTTCGTCTCAAGTACCTAGATGTCTGACATCGGTCTGCTACCATAGCTGGGTCCACGAAACTATTCGTACTTTGCTATTTTTCCAGAGATGATGAGGAGTTTCTTCGCTTTTCTCGAGCTGCAGATGAGCTACAGAGCTGTTTCGCACAGCAATCGAAAGACCATCATCAGGCGCGCTAGTCTAAAGTATCTAGATGCCTGAACTCGGTCTGCTACCAGAGCTGGATCAAACAAACTACTGGTACTCTTTTTTTTTGAGATGACGATGATTTTCTTGACTGAGCTGGAGCTGTAGATGAGCTACATAGCTGTTTGTCAGAGCAGTCGCAAGGAAATGTTCAGAAACGCTAGTCTGAAGTATCTAGACGCGCGAACTTGGTCTACTACCAGAGCTGGGTCGGAACAACTATTCGCATTCTGCCAAAATTTAGAGATATTAACTCTCTTGAGAGAATTCGAGCTGCAGATGAGCTACAGAGCTGTTCGGCACATCGATCGGAAGGAAATCATCATACGCGCTAGTCTTAAGTATCCAGATGCCCGAACTCGTCACGCTTCCAGAGTTGGAACCAGAAAACTATTCGTACTCTTGCCATTTTTCAGAGATGACGATGCCTTTCTTGATCTCCGCCCTCCTTCTCCTCCTCCTTCTTCTCTCACCCTGCTCCATCTCCTTTCTCCTCACTCCTTCTTCTCCTCCAGTCCTTCTCCATACAACCGCACCCTTCGCGCGCGCGGAATGCGAGATTGCCGCGCCCGCATTGCACAAGGAAATTCTACGAGTTCCCGGCGGTAGCCAAAGTTGACGGTTTACCGCCGGCTCCTGTTGTCCTGACGCGGATCGCGGTCTCTTTCGGGGGGAGCACCACGGCGCGTCCCACCGGATTCTGCCCGCCAGGGCCATGATGACCGCTTATTGAGTCGGGCCTGTCCCTCTACAGGAGGAGTATGCAAGAATAGTCAAAACATATAGTTTGGAGTATTTTTTGATCATGTTTGAACATTTGTTGCAGATTTCTTGTTTTTCGCCCACACTCGGACATGCCCGACCTATTGCCAGTGACTGTTCCCGTCGGGGTTCCTTCCATCCCCGAGACGCTGCCTTCCCGCAGCCCTTGCTCGTCTCCTCCCTCGCCATGGGGCAGACGGGTCCTGAGGGAAAACAGGCCCTCACGATTTGTTTCGTTCTTGGCGCCTCCGGGCCCTCCGCGGGCCCCGGGATGGTCAAGAGGCGTCTCGGGATGAGAGCTGGTCCCGAGGAACAGCCCTGGGGTCCAGGACCTGTTGTCCGCATGACCCGTTTTTTTCATGCCCGCTCCCGCCTCCTCTTCCCTCGCCCTTGCAATGCTTAAAATTCGGGTGCCCGCTGCAGTAGCTCCTGTGTTCGACCAGAGCTGTCTCGAAGAGCCCAGGCGCAGGGCCTCGCAGGTTCATTTGTTTTGCTTCACGTCCAGCGCGTGCGCCAGAGGGGTTCGTGTTAATTTTTAGGAAGAATTGTCCCGCGCCGCCATTTTTTGCCATGTCGTCTCTTTGGTCCCTGACTGGCCCCAGCCATGGTGCTGCCCTCCGTCACGGCCAATTTCATTCGCCGTTCTTATCAGTGACTGTATCCTGCCATGGTGCTCCCCTCCATCGCCGCCGATTTCCTTCAGCGTCCTGGTGCTTCTTCCGTCGCCGCTGGTTCTTTTCGCCGTCCTTGTCTGCGACAGTCCCCAGCCCTGATGCTGCCGTGCGTCGCCGACAGCTGGTGACGTTTCGCGTGCCCCATCGATTCATCCTGAAATGATCTCAGGTCGAGCTGCCTTTGATCACAGAGGTGTAGGATAAGGAGTGGGACAGCTAGGGGGGGCAGCCGTGAAACCGAAGCTCAAGATCAGCCTGAGCAGACACAGAGGTCGAACAGAAAGGCCTTCATGGATCTTTCGATATGGGAGCTTGTTGGAGGTTCCTTGGGGCCAAATCGGGTCATTCTCGGGGCTGCTGTCTTGGAGGACGTCGATCAAGAATGAGGTGGCGTCAATTAGCGTTGCGCCTTCGGAGTCAGACAACTCGTCTCTTGGGGTCCTCTTTGGACGCTCTTGGGGGGTTTGGGGGCCGTCTTTGGTGGCAATTTTGAGGACTCAGAAGCCCTTCGGGCAAGGGCAGAAGCATGATCAATTATGATTTGACAGACTTTTGCCTTTCGGGGTATCCTTGAGAGGATCCGTCTCCGTGTCCACTCAGGGCCGTCTTGAGGCGGTATTGGGGTTTCCTGGAGGCATGCCGGAGTCCATCTTGAGAGCCGTCTTGGCCTGTCTTGTGTCATTTTGAGGGCCATCTTGGGCGATCTAGGGCCATCTTAGAGATATCTCGGGTCATCTTGGATGGTCCAACCCCTCGCGAACTTTCGGTCCGGGCCACAGGGGAGGGGATAATGATAGGGGAGGGGCATCCCCCATCCCGGAGACGAAAAAGGGGATTCGAAGAATTGTCTCCCCAATCCACTGATTCAATGTTTGTTATGGGGACCTTCTCGGGGCCCACCTAACGGATCTGTTCGATTCTAGTTCGGCTCAAGCTCGCTTGACTTTAGCTCGACTCAAGTTGGACTCAAATTCGACTCGAGTCGACTCGAGTTGACGGGCGCTCGACGCAGCATCGACGCATGACTGCAGCGCGTGGCTCCAGGAAGGTGCCCAGAACGAGCACGTGATACACACCCACGCTCAGAGGGCTGGTGGGATTCTCCTGCCATTGCCCCCAGCGGTCCGTGAGCCTGGGTTCGGTGCGGGCGCCCAAGGGTGGTCCCCGATTGCCCGACGCGAGGCGGTGGCAGCTGCTGGCGCGCCCGGGTGCGGCCACCCGTGCTGCCACGTGCTGCCCTCCGGCGCCGCCGATTTCCGCCGCCGCCGCTGCTCTCCCGGCAGTCCCTCTGCCCTGGGTGCTGCCCGCCGGCGCCCGCCGGCCTCCCTCGCCGCGCTCTTGTCCTCGGCCGCCCCGCTCTCCCGTGGTTGCCCTCCGTCGCTGCCGCTTCTTGTGGCTGTCCTTACGTCGGGCCCGTCCCTCCACAGGAGGAGTATTCCGGAACAGTCAAAACATAGTCTGGGGACGATTTTCGGTACATGCTTTGACTTTTTTGGAGTATTTGTTGAATCTCGTTTTTCGTTTTTCGCTTGAGATCCCCTTGTAGGGGGATATGCCCGACCTAGTCCTTGCCCGGCTGCCCCCGCCAGCTCTGCTTGCCGTGTTTGTCGCCGACTGCCGTGGTCTGTCCCCAGCTGACCCTGGCCCTGGTGATGCCCTCAGTCGCAGCCGACTTCCATCGCTGCGTCTGTGCCCGGCTGCTCCTCCGTCGCTGCCGATTTTCTTTTGCCGTCCCCGTCCCCGACTGTCCCTGGCCCTGGTGTTGCCTTGTCGCTGCCGATTTCTCTCGCCGTCCTTGACTCCGATTGTCCTCAGCCCTGAGGGGTGTCCTCCGCCACCAATTTCCTTTGCGGGCCCTGTCCACGAATGTGCCTGGCAGCCTGGATCATGCTCTCTCCCGTCGAACTGTTTGGGTCTACACGCTTGTTTCACACAAGTGTGATCTTGTCCTGATCAGGTGGGCACGGTGGCCGTGCGGTCACTCCACAGTCATGCTCCATTTTCAATTTGCTAATTTTTGGTGGGCATTGTGTATTTCAGGCTGCGTCAAACGTTCCCGCTCGTTCCTGTCAGCGACCACGGGTAAACATACAAGATACAAGCGTTTATGTGTAGCATCGCTTGTCCATTGTCCCTTTGCCATCCGATCGCACGAACTTGGTGGATCGAGTGCAGCTTTGGCTGGCACAGATTCGGGCATGCTTTTTTTCCGATTCGTGCCTGCATGGGGTTGCGAATGATTTGCAGCATGCCTACGTGGCTGCGCACCCGAACGCATATCTTTGCATAACGTTGCCTACGCTGGTGCCGTAGACTTTCCTGCTGCTGGATCGGGGCCGCTCGCCGACGGGTGCATGAAGCCTTCCCGCACCCCGATCTTGGTGCTTGCCGCAGGTCAGTCCGCGTTGTCCGGCCTCTTGGTGAGTGAGCTACTGTGCGAAACAGTTCGAGGCCGCAGGGTTGTGCATCGTCACTGCATGTATGCTCGGTTTTGTGGTCACTGTCGTTAATTCAGGTTCAGTGCCCAGTTTGGCTCAATCCATGCAGGCGCGAACCGAATCGTGCCACACTTCCTTGACGGAGTCATTGCGGGCGTCTCAGTCCTTGTCGCAGTCTTAGAATGGCGGCGGCCGCCTTCGCCGCGGTCCTGACTTCGGCCCTCAGCGCCTTCGCCTTGAAGGTCCAGCAGGAACCGGGGCATGAGCAGCTGTCGTTGATCCAGGCGCAGGATCCGGGGCAGGAACAGCTGTCGTTGATCCAGGCACAGAAGGTGCCGTTAGAAGACCCGAAGCCAGCTGACATCACGGCTTGGTCTGACGGCCCCAAGGTCGTGGGGCCGAAGGATCTTCACCACGTGCAGATCAACAGTTCCAGGGGTAGTCACACCATTGGCGTCGAGGCGTTCCATTGGTCCGTGGACTTCGAGATGTCGGGCGCCCTTCTATCTGGGAAGGGCTGGGGAGAAAACCTCACCAGACAGTTGTGCAGCGACTACCAGGCATACGGTGACGTCGGCAATATCCTCGATGTCGGAGCGAGCATTGGCGCCATCACTATTCCGCTGGCAGACTGTCTGACAGGCAAGGGCAAGGTTCTGGCTGTGGAAGGGATGCCGCCCACCGTGGACCATCTCGTGATGGGTATTCTTGGCAACAAGATGAAGAATGTGGAGGTGTACAACTTCGCCGTGGGAGCTTCGGACGATCCTGGATCGGTGAAGGGAGGAGGAGGGGTAGGATTTGTTGAAGGAGGAGGAAGAGGAGGAATCATCACGAGGTGGATGAGGAGGACGGCGAAAGGTGACCATGTCCCTGAATCCGGTCGACAAGGGCGGTTCGGCAGTGAAGGGCGACAAGCCGTTCACTGAGCTGATCGGCTTCCAAGCCATGCATGATTTTTTCAAAGCCAACGTGGCAGTGAAAGACTTCGAGGTGATGCTGACCACTGGGGATAATATGCTCTTGAACAACCCAGCGATGAAGGCGATCATGATGGCCAAGATTGACATCGGGGGCCACGAGGGCCATTTCCTGAAGGGTTCCCAGATCCTCTTCACGCAATTCCCGCCCTGCTCCGTGACTATCGAGCTGACGCCAGAGTGGCTCGAGCGCGCTGGCACGCCTGTCCAAGATATTCTTGACCAATTTACCAATTGGGGCTACGTGGACGTCCCCACCGTCGAGCACCTGAATGTCACCCAGAACAGGAGGGAGATGTTCTCAGCGTCAGTGTCAGATCCACCCGTCACGTCAATGATCCAGAAAGACATGCAGAAGTGCAGGGAACGCGTGAAGTCTTGCGCCTCTGGGGGTGAGTGTCCCCGGATTGAGCTTCCGCGCGCAGTTCCAGTCACGGATCCAGCCTCCGAGCCAGGAGATGCGACAACAGAAGAGGCTCCCGTGATGTTGAATTCCGCTCGTGCAGATGAGACAACGCAGTCCGTGTCTGTCGTGGTGGACGAGAGCAGTGCGGCTCTTAAGATGGGGGAGAAGCCTCCGTCTTCCAAGCGCAAGAAAGCGCGTTCAATCTGAGAGCACTGAGTTTGCCGCAGACTTCGCGATTGATGCATCATCCTCAGCATCATAATCGTTATCATTGTTTTAGCTTTTTATTGGAGAGGCTTTACGGCCACTGCAGCTGACCCTGGACGACGACGACGATGAAGATGTTGACGTTGGTCAGAGTCCTCAAGGATGCTTCTTATGATCTCTTCGGGGCGCTCTCGGGGGCCTCCGGAGGTAGTTTTGGGGCCTCTGGGGAACCTCTTGGGGGCCTGTTGGGGGGCTCCTGGGGGCCTCTTGGAGCTTCACGGGGGCCGCTTGGGGGTCTCTTGGGGGCTTGGGTGCCTCTTGGCGCCTTCTTGGCTCTACGTGGGAGCCTCTCAGACAGAGGGCTCGACATGTTCGTTCGGGTCCCCCGTCTGGGCACCCTCTTGGAGCCGTCTTGGGGGCCTCTTGGGCCGTCTTGGAGGCCTCTTGGGCCGTCTTTGGGCCCTCTTGGTCGTTTTGGGGCCCTCTTGGAGGCCTCTTGGGTTGGGCGAGCTTGGGGGCTTGTTGGGTCGCCTTGGAGTGTCGAGAAGCCGAAAAGGCGATAATCCCCAAATCTATCAAAAACCGACTGTCAAGTAATGATTCTTGCCTCTTGGGGTCTCTTGAGGGTGCTTTTGGAGGCCTCTTGGGGCGTCTTGGAAACCTCTTGGGCCGTCTTGAGGCTATTGTAGTAGCCTCCGGCCAGTGCCGCCGATCCGGGGTGCTACCGATTCCGCTTGCAACGGATGACTTTTTATGTTTAAAAGCAGAGCACTCGCTCGACACATCCTCACAAGATAGAGACGTTGAACTCGCTTGGGCAACCTTCGGGCATTCGAAAGTGACGATCTCGCGTGAACAGCCAAACTCATGGGATGTCCCCTCCCACCTTCCGGGCCTGAATGGCGTCAGCCATGGCGTCAGCCCCCGCCCCCTTCCGACTCCCCCGTCCCGGGCCTGAATGGCGTCAGCCATGGCGTTCCCCCCTTCTTCTCATCTCTATGGCGTTCCGTCCCCCCCTTCCGCCCTCCCGGGCCTGAATGGCGCCAGCCATGGCGTGAGCCTCCCCCCCCCCTCCCCTTCCTCCCCCCGACTTCCTCCTCTCGGGCCTGAATGGCGTCAGCCATGGCGTTCCCGCCTCCCCCCCCTCCTCCCTCCCAGGCCTGAATGGCGTCAGCCATGGCGTCAGGGCCCCACCCCCCCTCCCCCCAGATCCCTTTCCCCGGCTTGAATGGCGTCAGCCATGGCCTCAGCTCCCCCCCCCTTCCCCGACTTCCTCCTCCCGGGCCTGAATGGCGTCAGCCATGGCGTTCCCCCCTCCCCCTCCCCTCCTCCCTCCCGGGCCTGAATGGCGTCAGCGCCCCTCCCCCTCCCCCCAGATCCCCCTCCCGGGCCTGAATGGCGTCAGCCATGGCGTCAGCTCCCCCCACCCTTAAGGACTTCCTCCTCCCGGGCCTGAATGGCGTCAGCCATGGCGTTCCCCCCCCCCCCCCGGGGCCTCTCCCCCCCCCCTTATCCTCTCCATGGCGTTCCCCCCCCCCCCCTCCTCCCTCCCGGGCCTGAATGGCGTCAGCCATGGCGTTTCCCCCCCTTCCCCCCCCCTTCTTCATGGCGTTCCCCCCCCCCTCCCCTCCTGGGCCTGAATGGCGTCAGCCATGGCGTTCCCCCCTCCCCCTCCCCTCCTCCCTCCCGGGCCTGAATGGCGTCAGCGCCCCTCCCCCTCCCCCCAGATCCCCCTCCCGGGCCTGAATGGCGTCAGGCATGGCGTCAGCTCCCCCCCCCCCAAGGAGTCGCTCCCCCCCCCCCCGGGCCTCCTCCCATGGCGTTCCCCCCCCCCTCCTCCCTGGCGTTCCCCCCCCCCCCCCCTCCTCCTCCCGGGCCTGAATGGCGTCAGAGCCTGAATGACTCAGCCCCCCCCCCCCCGACAGAGCGAAGTCTGAATGGCGTCCCCCCCCCCTCCTCCTGAATGGCGTCGGCCCCCCCCTCCGACGGAGCGAAGCTCCCCCCCCTCCTCCCTCCTGGGCCTGAATGGCGTCAGCCCCCCCTCCTCCTCCCTCCCTGGCCTGAGTGGCGTCAGCCCCTCCCCCCCTCCTCCCTTCCGGGCCTGAATGGCGTCAGCCCCCCCCCCCGACAGAGCGAAGCTTGAGCGAGCTCAAGCCCACGCTCTCAGAAACTCACACGCCGGATCGGCGGACTTGGCGTCTTGGACCGATAGTTTGGCAATTCGGGGCCCTTTTGGACAGTCTTGCGGGCCTCTTGAGGCAGTTTTGGTTCGTCTTTGTTTTGGGCTTTGGGACCCCCTGGTGGGGGCTGATCCGGGACTTGCCCCAAGGCTCCCCCGGGTCCCCCCCGGGACCCCCTCCGGGACCCCCACGGGAACGCCCCCCGGAACCACCCCCTTGGCGGGGAAGGGATCAACGGGAAGGGGTTTTCCCTTTGACTGAACTACAACGTTGCTGCTCAATTTCGCTTTGGCTGGCGCGCTTGAGGAGGAGAGCCCCACGGCAGCGCAAGACGGCTTCCAGAAGAACTGCATTTTTAGCATCTTCACTTTTTGTGCCGTAGCAGCGTCCAAGACGGCCCAAGAAGCCTGCGAGATCGCCCCAATGCGGCCAAAGAGGCCCCCAAGAGGGCTTCAAACCCAGCCAAGAGGACCCCAATACTGCCCCAGGACGGCCCACAAGAAGCTTACGAGGCCCCCAAAGGCTCCCGAGAGAGACCTACGCGGGCCATGGGAGGTCCCCATGATGGCCTCAGGCCTCAGTTTTCCAGGAGAGCCCCACGGCAGCGCAAGACGGCCTTCAGAAGGCCCAAAAGGCCCCCAAGACGTCCCAAGCGGCCCCAGCGACGCCCCAAAAGGCCTTCAGGAGACCCCCAAGAGGCAAAACTCGTCCCATTCCCTCAGGAAAACATGCATTTTTAGCATACTCGCTTTCTGTATCGTAGCAGCGCCCAAGACGGCCCAAGAAGCCTAAGAGATCGCCACAAGGCGGCCAAAGAGGCCCCCAAGAGGGCTTCAAGCCGGCCAAGAGGACCCCAAGAATGCCCCAGGACGGCCCCAAGAAAGCTCACGAGACCCCAGAGGCTCCCAAGAGAGACCCACGAGGGCCATGGGAGGTCTTCAAGAGGGCCCAAGTTTCCCAAGAAGGCCCCAGGACGGCCCAAGATGGACCAAAGACGGTCCACACGGGTTTCAAAAGGACGCCCAAGACGGCTCAAAGATGCGCCCAAGAGGCCTCCAAAGGTCCTTAAAGCCCTTGAGAGGCATTCGTGAGGCCCCCGAGAGGTTCTCAAACGAGGATTATGGGCAAAAATACCTGCGGCAAACGGGAAATAGTTCGCAATGCCAGGCGAGAGCGTGGATGTTCGAGACGTGCGATCAGGAACGCGTTGCATTGTTCGCATCACAAAGGTTTACCCGCAGAACTTTGACCGCCAGAGTTCCATACCTCACTGCTCGGCGTCTGCGATGGCTCAGATTCTCGTTGGTTTTATGCCGTTGGGAGCCGCTGGAAGCCGCCAGGCTTCTGCAATCCTCGGAGGTTTTGGTTCGACATCGGCCTGCAGGAGCCGGTCGCTGCAACCTGTGGGCCTCAAAAACAGATCCGTGGGTAAATTATCCTGGCGAAGGACCCAACCATAAGCAATTGTTCGTAACGCGTTGTGGGTGCCGCTTTCGGTGGAGCTCCCTATGGGGCCACGAAGCGCTGCCTCGGGTGGGGGAACCGCATGCGAGAGCAGCCACTGCGGCCTTAGGTGGAGCTCCCTATAGGGCCACGAAACGCTGTCTTGGGTGGGGGAACCGCATGCGAGATCAGCCACTGGGGCCTTCGGTGGAGCTCCCTATGGGGCCACGAAACGCTGCCCTGGGTGGGGGAACCGCATGCGCCACTGGGGCCTTCGGTGGAGCTCCCATGGGGCCACGAAGCGCTGCCCTGGGTGGGGGAACCGCATGCGAACAGCCACTGGGGCCTTCGGTGGAGCTCCCCACGAAACGCTGCCCTGGGTGGGGGCATGCGACTGGGGCCTTCGGTGGAGCTCCCTATGGGGCCACGAAGCGCTGCCCTGGGTGGGGGAACCGCATGCGAACACCCCCACTGGGGCCTTCGGTGGAGCTCCCTATGGGGCCACGAAACGCTGCCCTGGGTGGGGGAACCGCATGCGAACACCCCCACTGGGGCCTTCGGTGGAGCTCCCTATGGGGCCACGAAACGCTGCCCTGGGTGGGGGAACCGCATGCGGACACCCCCACTGGGGCCTTCGGTGGAGCTCCCTATGGGGCCACGAAACGCTGCCCTGGGTGGGGGAACCGCATGCGAGACACCCCCACTGGGGCCTTCGGTGGAGCTCCCTATGGGGCCACGAAGCGCTGCCCTGGGTGGGGGAACCGCATGCGAGACAGCCACTGGGGCCTTCGGTGGAGCTCCCTATGGGGCCACGAAACGCTGCCCTGGGTGGGGGAACCGCATGCGAACTGCGCCACTGGGGCCTTCGGTGGAGCTCCCTATGGGGCCACGAAGCGCAGCCCTGGGTGGGGGAACCGCATGCGGGCAGCCACTGGGCCTTCGGTGGAGCTCCCTATGGGGCCACGAAGCGCTGCCCTGGGTGGGGGAACCGCATGCGAGCAGCCACTGGGGCCTTCGGTGGAGCTCCCTATGGGGCCACGAAACGCTGCCCTGGGTGGGGGAACCGCATGCGAACTGCGCCACTGGGGCCTTCGGTGGAGCTCCCGCATGCGCGCTGCCACTGGGGCCTTCGGTGAGCTCCCTATGGGGCCACGAAGCGCTGCCCTGGGTGGGGGGGGCCTTCGGTGGAGCTCCCCTATGGGGCCACAGCGCTGCCCTGGGCGGGGGAACCGCATGCGAACCGCCACTGGGGCCTTCGGTGGAGCTCCCTCTGGGGCCACGAAACGTTGCCCTGGGTGGGGGAACCGCATGCGAACTGCGCCACTGGGGCCTTCGGCGGAGCTCTCCCTGGGGCCACGAAGCGCTGTGGGGAACCGCATGCGAGAGCAGCCACTGGGGCCTTCGGTGGAGCTCCCTTTGGGGCCACGAAACGCTGCCCCCTGGGCGGGGGAAACCGCATGCGAGAGCCCACTGGGGCCTTCGGTGGAGCTCCCTATGGGGCCACGAAACTGCCCTGGGTGGGGGAACCGCATGGGACACCCCCACTGGGGCCTTCGGTGGAGCTCCCTATGGGGCCACGAAACGCTGCCCTGGGTGGGGGAACCGCATGCGAGAGCAGCCACTGGGGCCTTCGGTGGAGCTCCCTATGGGGCCACGAAGCGCTGCCCTGGGTGGGGGAACCGCATGCGAACACCCCCACTGGGGCCTTCGGTGGAGCTCCCTATGGGGCCACGAAGCGCTGCCCTGGGTGGGGGAACCGCATGCGAGAGCAGCCACTGGGGCCTTCGGTGGAGCTCCCTATGGGGCCACGAAACGCTGCCCTGGGTGGGGGAACCGCATGCGAGAGCAGCCACTGGGGCCTTCGGTGGAGCTCCCTATGGGGCCACGAAGCGCTGCCCTGGGTGGGGGAACCGCATGCGAGAGCAGCCACTGCGGCCTTAGGTGGAGCTCCCTATAGGGCCACGAAACGCTGTCTTGGGTGGGGGAACCGCATGCGAGATCAGCCACTGGGGCGGGTCTTCGGTGGAGCTCCCTATCTATGGGGCCACGAAGCGCTGCCCTGGGTGGGGGAACCGCATGCGAGAGCAGCCACTGGGGCCTTGGGTGGAGCTCCCTATGGGGCCACGAAACGCTGCCCTGGGTGGGGGAACCGCATACGAGAGCAGCCACTGGGGCCTTTGGTGGAGCTCCCTATGGGGCCACGAAGCGCTGCCCTGGGTGGGGGAACTGCATGCGCGAGCAACCACTGGGGCCTTCGGTGGAGCTCCCTATGGGGCTACGAAGCGTGTGAGAGGTATGCCGAGAGCAGAGGCAAGGAGGGGGAGGAGGGAGGAGAGGGAGGAGGAGGGGGAGGAGGAAAGAAGAAAGGATGAAGGAGGAGACGCGGGGCGCTGTCTCTCCAAAACGAGGACCCAACACCACAGGATGGTTGGGAAAACATCCCCCCTGGAATCAATTTTTCCTCCACGGTCGGTCGCGTTGTGTCGACGCGGCGGCGACCCCAGCGCGGGCGTTTGGAACGAACATGCCCAGTGGTCAGGATTCGACTGGCGTTGAACGGGAATGCGCGATCGTTCACGGCTGAACGATCCAAGCGGTGTCAAACATCAACGCGCAGGCCGTTATGACACCAGCAGGCGCAGGATCGCGCGAAGAAGGCACGCGATTTTGGTTCGACAAATTTTTCGGAGCCTCCAGGTGGCGTTCTCCCGCCACCTGATCGTGTCCGCCTTGAAATTCGAATCAACACGCACCCCAAGAAAAGTTCGGGTGGCGCACGGATCTGTAAAGCGAGGGCAATAGTAAATTAGAACGGGCGAGGGGGCTAGACGGGAAACGGCCAAAGTTCAAAGGCTCGAGGAACCAAGGTGTGGCGCCAAGTGCCAACATATGCAAGGCTTGAGGACATGTACAGGGCTGCATTGACGCTTCGCGCCATGCCATGCACCATGGTCCTTTGAGTTTCGCGTACAGGCGGCGTACGTGCGCGTGTGCATTCGCGCGTGAATATGCGCATGAAAGTGTACACGCGCACACGCAAGCACGTTGTACATACATGCACACATATCTCTCTATGTATGCATGTGCATGCGGCTGCATGTATGCATGCATGTATGTATGTATGCATGCATGCATGCATGCATGCATGTATGTATGTATGTATGCATGCATACATGTATGTATGTATGCATATATGTATGTATGTATGCATGCATGTATGTATGTATGTATGTATGCATGTATGCATGTATGTATGTATGTATGTATGTATGTATGTATGTATGTATGTATGTATGTATGTATGTATGTATGTATGTATGTATGTATGTATGTATGTATGTATGTATGTATGTATGTATGTATGTATGTATGTATGTATGTATGTAATGTATGTATGTAATGTATGTATGTATGTATGTATGTATGTATGTATGTATGTATGTATGTATGTATGTATGCGTATGTATGTATTCTAGTATGTATGTATGTATGTAATGCAATGTGTATAATATATATATATATATATATATATATATATATATATATATGTATATATGCATGTATGTGTGTATGTACGTATACATATAACGGCGCACCGGGTCCGGGGGCCCGGGGCCGGGACCTCGACCACAAATGTGCACCCCGGGGGGCCCGGAGGCTCGTCGGGGCTTGCCGGAGGCCTCCCCAGTCAGACAAGACGGCCCAAGAAGCGCCCAAGACGGCCCAAGAAACTTCCAAGAGGCCTCCAAGAGGGCTCCGAGATGCTGAAGATGGCCTCCAGATGTCCAAGGACGCCCCCAAGAGAGGCTCCAAGAAGCCTCCAACATGCGTCCCAAGAGGGCCCCTAGACGCAAGAATTGGCCCATTCCCTTCGTAAAACGTACATTTCCAACAAAGTTGTCTTTTGGGCTTTCCGACGTTACAGGACGGCCCAAGAGGCGCCCAAGACCGCCCCAAGACGGCCCAAGAAGCTTCCAAGAGGGCCCCAGGACAGCCCAAGCGGGCCCCAAGACGGCCCAAGAGGCGCCCAAGATGGCCCAAGAGGGCCCCAAGACGGGCCCAAGAGGGGGCCCAGAGGGGGACCACGAACCGCAAGCTCGAGCCTTCCGCCCCAAGAGGCCGCCAGGAGGCCCCCAGGAGGCCCCTCAAGAGGCCCCAGGAGACCCCAGACGTCCAAGGACTCCCCCAAGAGGCCCCAAGAAGCCTCCAACATGCGTCCCAAGAGGGCCCCCAGACGCAAAAGTTGGCCCATTCCCTTCGTAAAACGTACATGTTCAACAAAGTTGCCTTTTGGGCTTTCCGAAGTTACAGGACGGCCCACGAGGCGCCCAAGACCGCCCCAAGACGGCCCAAGAAGCTTCCAAGAGGGCCCCAGGACAGCCCAAGAGGGCCCCAAGACGGCCCAAGAGGCGCCCAAGATGGCCCAAGAGGGCCCCAAGACGGGCCCAAGAGGGGGCCCAGAGGGGGCCCAGAGGGGGACCACGAACCGCAAGCTCGAGCCTTCCGCCCCAAGAGGCCGCCAGGAGGCCCCCAGGAGGCCCCTCAAGAGGCCCCAGGATACCCCAGACGTCCAAGGACGCCCCCAAGAGGCCCCAAGAAGCCTCCAACATGCGTCCCAAGAGGGCCCCTAGACGCAAAAATTTGCCCATTCCCTTCGTAAAGCGTACATTTTCAACAAAGTTGTCTTTTTGGTTTTCCGACGTTACAGGACGGCCCAAGAGGCGCCCAAGACCGCCCCAAGACGGCCCAAGAAGCTTCCAAGAGGGCCCCAGGACAGCCCAAGAGGGCCCCAAGACGGCCCAATAGGCGCCCAAGATGGCCCAAGAGGGCCCCAAGACGGGCCCAAGAGGGGGCCCAGAGGGGACCACGAACCGCAAGCTCGAGCCTTCCGCCCCAAGAGGCCGCCAGGAGGCCCCCAGGAGGCCCCTCAAGAGGCCCCAGGAGACCCCAGACGTCCAAGGACGCCCCCAAGAGGCCCCAAGAAGCCTCCAACATGCGTCCCAAGAGGGCCCCTCGACGCAAGAATTGGCCCATTCCGTTCGTAAAACGTACATTTCCAACCAAGTCGCCTTTGGGGCTTTCAGACGTTACAGGACGGCCCAAGAGGCGCCCAAGACCGCCCCAAGACGGCCCAAAAAACTTCCCAGAGGGCCCCAGGACAGCCCAAGAGGGCCCCAAGACGGCCCAAGAGGCGCCCAAGATGGCCCAAGAGGGCCCCAAGACGGGCCCAAGAGGGGGCCCAGAGGGGGACCACGAACCGCAAGCTCGAGCCTTCCGCCCCAAGAGGCCGCCAGGAGGCCCCCAGGAGGCCCCTCAAGAGGCCCCAGGAGACCCCAGACGTCCAAGGACGCCCCCAAGACGCTTCGCGTCACCAATTTCTTCTCGCAACGATTCCTGGGTCTGTGACTCGACAGGACCTTAGCGCGCGCGAAGCGCGCGCGTGGTTCTAGTATGTATGTATGTATGTATGTATGTATGTATGTATGTATGTATGTATGTATGTATGTATGTATGTATGTATGTATGTATGTATGCATGCATGCATGCATGCATGCATGCATGCATGCATGCATGCATGCATGGGCATGTATGTATGTATGTATGTATGTATGTATGTATGGATGTATGCATGTATGTATGTATGTATGCATGCATGCATGCATGCATGCATGTATGCATGTACGTACGTACGTACGTACGTATGTATGTATGTATGTATGTATGTATGTATGTATGCATTTATGTATGTATGTATGTATGGATGTATGTATGTATGTATGGATGTATGTATGTATGTATGTAAAAAAATGTATGTATGTATGCTATGTATGTATGTATGTACGTACGTACGTACGTACGTTACGTACGTACGTACGTATTTATGTATGTATGTATGTAGGTAGTTATGTATGTATGTATGTATGTATGTATGTATGTATGTATGTACGTATGTATGTATGTATGTATGTATGTATGTATGTATGTAATATACATGCATGTATGTATGCCATGTAGATAGTAGTGTAGTATGTATGTATTATGCAGGTCCGGGCGGTGCGCCGTGGCACGAACCCCCCCCCCAGCACTACCGGGGGGTTTCGTGCACTACCGGGGGGTTTCGTGCAGCCCGCACCGGGTGCCGCCAGCGGCTTAGAACACCCCCCCTTGCCGCTTTACCGGGGGGGTTCGTGCAGGCCGCACTGCGTCTACCTGGGCTCCCCCCCCCCCCCTGTGGGAGTGGGGGGGTGGGAGTGGGGGTGGGTTGGGGGGGGGGCAGGGGGGCGGTTGGGAAGGGTGGCTCCCTGTCGAAGTGTGGCGTGTGCTCGCCTTGTGTTCTCTATTCGCGTCTGCTCGCCTTTGTTCCGCCGCAGCCTCTCGTATTGTGGCTCGTGGCCACAATACGAGAGGCTGCGGCGCAACTCCCGAGAGCCGCAGCCTCTCGTCCAACCGTCCCCCATGGCGGCGCCGGGGGGCGCCCGGACGGCTGAGGCGGCGCCAGCGAGAAGCCCCGAACACCCCAACGCGGCCGATTTAGGGCCACGGGAGAGGCCTGGGGGCTTTTGCGGTCGCCAGGGGCGGTCTCGACGGTGCTGATTGCGCCTCGACGTCCCGCGACCGAACCAAAGACCGATCACAGAGCTCAAAGGGCGGGGAGGCGAAGGAGGACGAGGACAATGAGGAGGGGGGCGATGAGGACGAGGAGGGGGAGGAGGAGGAGGAGCAGGAGGAGGAAGGAGGAGGGGAGGAGTAGCGAAGAGTAGAGGAGGAGGAAGAGGAGGAGGAGGGAGGCGGAGGAGAGCGGGGGAGGAGGAGGAAGAGGAGGAGGGGAGGAGGAGGAGGGAGGATGGGAGGAGGATGAGGACTAGGAGGACGAGGAGGACGACGAGGCACGAGCGAGGACGACGAGGACGACGAGACGACGAGACGCGGACGAGACGAGGAAGGAGGAGGATGAGGAGGAGACCGAGGAGATGACAAGGCGAGGACGAGGGACGAGGACGAAGACGATGAGGAGAGAGGAGGGGAGGAGGAGGCAGGAGGAGGAGGGAGTGAGGAGAGGAGGGTGAGGAGGAGGAGGAGGCTGAGAGGGATGGAGGAGGAAGAGTACTAAACATTGATTGTCCTTCTTATTTTTCAGCGGTTTGGCATTTGCCGTCTTCCACCTCGCATTCCGACGGCCAAGACGCCCGGAGGCCCCAACAATCTACCCAAAATCGTCCACGAGGCCTCCAAGATGGCCTCAGGACTTGCCCAATAGGCCCCCAAGACGGCCCCGAGAGGGCACAAAGACGACCCAAGAGGCCTCCAAGACGCCCCAGAAGGCCTCTGAGACGGCCCTGGAGCACCTCAAGATGGCCCCATGTGGGCCGAGAGCCCCCCCAAACGGCGTCCGACGGCGTCAGACGGGCCAGGAACCCACCAAGATGGCCGAAGTTGGCTCGAAGCTGGCCTACGACGGCCCAAGAGGCCTCCAAGAGGGCCTCCAGGAAGGCCAGCAAAAGGCAAAACAAAACCAGAAACGGCCAGAAACACGGGTGTTCCATAGGTGTTTGGGGGAATTTGACATTTGCTTCTTTTCGGGTTTCCGACGGCCCGATACGGCCCAAAAGCCCCCAAAGATCGCCCAAACATCGCCCAAGAGGCATCCAAGATGGCCTCCAAACTGACCAAGAGGCCCCCAAGACGGCCCCAAGCGGCCCCGACGGCTCAAGACGGCCCAGGAGGCCCCCAAGATCGCCCCAAGATCGCCCACGAGGCCTCCAAGATGGCCCCAACACGGCCCAAGAGGCCCCTAAGACGACCCCGAGAGGGCCCTAAGACGGCCCAAGAGGCCTCCAAGACGCCTAAGATGGCTTCCGAGACGGCTCAGATGGCCCCAAGAAGCCTCCAACACGGCCCAAGATGCACCCAAGACTGCCTGAGATGGCCTCCGGATGGCCTAAGACGGCCCTAGAGGCCCCCAAGAGGCCTCCAAGACGGCCCAACAGGCCTCCAAAAGTGCCTCCAGGAGGGCCCGAAGAGGCCAGCATCAGTGATTTTCCTTAGGTTGTTGAAGGTTTTTGGGATTTGCCTTAGGCCTGCCATGGCCCGTGACGTTGTGGTGTGCACCTGCCAAGTGTTGGGACGGGAGGAGCACGTCAGAATATTGACCGAGATCGACAAGGAGCTCTTGAGTAGCATGCTGGAGCATTTGTGCAATCGGGACCAGTGGCCAGAGTGCTACTGCGGCAACATTCTGGGCGTTCCACGGGACGTGATAAGCCTCCGTGCTTCCTCTCATTGTCCTCCGTCTCCTTCTCTTCATTCTCCTCGTCATGTTCCTTGCCCCGATTGTTCATTTCGTGCTCGTCCCCCTCCACAATTACTCAACCCGAATATGACTCTTCCTTCTTCCTGGACCTGCCCCGAAGATTCCCCCTCCGCGAATTGTGTGTGTTTTTTGTGCACTGGATTTCATGACGTGTTTTCTTGTTGTTTTGTTTCCATTCGTTCTCAGTGTTTCAAAATAGTGCTCCCGCTGCAGCGCGGGCCTCACTGTATGACCGGCCCTTGTTCTCGTCCTCGTGCTCCCCCCGTTCGCTTCGCTCCAGCTGCTGTTCCTCCTCGTCCTCCCTCCTCCTGCAGCATTGATTGCCAAATCAGAACACTCAACAGGGTTCTTGTGTTCCTGCAAACTGGACTTCCGATTTCCTCTTTTTTGCCCAGCACAATTTAGCGGGATGGTGGCCGCTTGGAAGGCGGCACGGACCACTTTTCTGGTGATGGTATTCACGCCCTCGATCGAGGCCCTCCTCCAACGCAACGACGCGGGGGCCGCTGCCGTCGCCCAGGGGACCGTCGACGATATCGAGGTGGACGTGCCGCACGATACCGCCACCCTCGAGAGGGAGCTCGCTAAGCTCAACGCCACGGTCGACGCGAAAACTGTCGAGAAGAAGAAGAACAAGCTGGACGTGGGCACCCACACATCCTCGTACACATTGCTTGGTGATGGAGATTGTCGTTGCTCTGGCGATGGTCCTGTGGACCGTTACCGTTCATCGGCTTGGTCCGACTTGGGTTACGATGTAGCGGACTGTCAGGATGTCTGCTCCAGCTACTCGTGGTGTCAGGCTTTGCTGTTCGGAAATGGAATCGGAGGATGCTATTGGAGAGGCCTGACGGCCGGTGCCGCCGACCCTGATCGAAAGGGCTAGGAGTGTGGGGAGGAAACGGAGGAGGAGGAGGAGGAGGAGGGGGAGGAGGGGGAGGAGGAGGAGGAGGAGGAGGAGGAGGAGGAGGATGGAGGAGGAGAGAGGGGGAGCAGGATGAGGTGGAGGGGGAGGGAGAGGAGGAGGGGAGGAGGAGAGGGGAGGAGGAGGAGGGAGGATGAGGAGAGAGGAATGCATCCTTGTGTCCGCTCGAAAAGAGTGCGCGGGGTGGTGTAGATTCTGACTTGGGACGTGCTCCCGAAGAGGAAGAGATTGCAATCTGGGGCGCGGCCCGCTCGAGGAAAATGCGCCCTAGGGGGGTGGTATTTTGACTCGGGGCCCTCTCCCGGCGCCTCCTCTAAGAGGAGGAGGAGGGAAGGAGGAGGAGAGGGAGGAGGAGAGGAGGAGGATGAGGAGAGGAAGGGAGGAGGAGGAGGAGGAGATGAGGAGGAGAAGAGAGGAGGAGGAGGGAGAGGAGGAGGATGAGGAGGGAGAGCAGGGAGCAGGAAGGAGGAGGAGGAGCAGGAGAGGAAGAGGGAGGAAGTGCATCCCCGTGCTTGCCCGCCTCGAGGAAGTGCGCCCTGGCGGGCGTCGTATCTGCCCCGCCCCCCCCCCCATCGCGCCCCCCCCTCCCCCCCCCCCTGCGGGGAAGGGATCAAGGGGAAGGGGCTTCCCTTCGACTCCATTACGACTTCGTTTAATTTCGCTTTGGATAGCGCGCTTGAGGAGGAGCCCTGGGAGGGGGGGAGCGGAGACGACGGAGACGACGGAGACGACGAGTCGAACAGAGAAGCCCCTCACACACGCCGACAGGGTCGGCGGATATTTATGCGGCGCCCAACACTGACAGCATCCGGCCCGCAAGCATCACCAACTTTGACAGTGGTCAAGCTTTTCGAGGTTTGGATTGTGAAGTCACGGAGGTCAATGATATCCAGGGCCAATGCTATTTGAAGGTGGCCGCTCCTCCGGCTACGCCCAGCCCGACGCCCGGCCCCACGCCCGGCCCGACGCCCAGTCCCACGCCAGCGCCCACCTCGGCGCCGACAGCCGCGCAGACCACCACCCCTGGCGGGGCTGCTGGGGGTGCTACTGCCGTTGGGGATCCTCACTTGCAGAATATCCATGGCCAGCGGTTCGACTTGATGATGCCCGGCAAGCACGTGTTGGTAAACGTCCCTCGCGAGTCGGACGCCGAGAACGCACTGCTTCGGGTGTCGGCCGTGGCGAGCAGACTGGGCGGAGAGTGCCAAGATATCTACTTCACGGAACTGAATATCACGGGATTTTGGGCCTACGCGCAACGGGCGGGGGGGTACCGCTTCCGAGCGCAGCGCGAGCGCAGCGGCAGCGGTAAGTGGTTCGCAGTGGGCAAGGTCTGGCTGAAGGTCGTCAATGCACACACCGACGCTGGCACCCGGTATCTGAACCTCTTTGTGAAGCACTTGGGGCGAACAGGGCTTGCTGTCGGAGGTCTGCTGGGTGATGGTGACCACGCTGGCGTGAGCGAGCTCCCGGCGAGCTGCTTGAAAAGGATGAGCCTGCAGCGCGTGAGCAGCTCAGTTTCGTCTGCTGCCCCTATCGCTATTGCGACCTTTGCGTGACCAATTTTTCACCGTTCCAGTTTACCATTTATTTTGACCGTTTACCGTGACCTTTGCGTCACCAATATTTTGACCGATTGTGCGAGTTGACCACGCGCGCGCACTGCTGCCATGCGTCTGCCCGTGCTTGTGTTTATACATATAACGGGGGGCCGGGTCCGGGGGCCGTGGGCCAAATGTGGGGGACGGCGCGCCGGGAACCCTGTTGGAGCGCCATGGGCCGGCCAAGGTTGCCCGAAGATGGCTTCGCGAAGCCATCTTCGGAACATTCGAAAACGCGCGCCGATGGTTCCGGATGCCTTTCAAGACGAGTCCCACGACGCCATGAAGGCTCCCGAAGGCCCCGAACACGCCCCAAAAGGCACCCCCAGAGAGCCACAATAAGCAAACATCTTCGATTTCCTTGGGGAAAACTGATATGTTTGGCGTGTTCGCCTTTTGGGCTTCCACTGCGTCCAAGACGGCCCAAGAGGCACCCAAGCCGGTCGAGGATGCCCCCAAGAGGGCTCCAAGACGGCCCACGAGGGGGCCAAGACGACCCACGTGACGCCCAAACCGCCCAAAAACGCCCCGAGTCGGCGCCCACGACGGGGACGAGGAACCGGAAATTTGCGCCTGTTTGGCCCAAGAGGCCCCCAGGAGACCTCAAGAGACTCCAAGAAGCACCCTAGAAGCCCCAAGAGGCTCCCATGAGACCCGCAAAAACACAAAAAGAGGCACCCCAATAGAGCCCCAAATGACCAAGCATCGCCGATTCCGATTTCTCAACAGATGTTTTCGGCGTGTTCGCCTTTTGGGTTTCCACTGCGTCCAAGACGGCCCAAGAGGCACCCAAGACGGTCGAGGATGCCCCCAAGAGGGCTCCAAGACGGCCCACGAGGGGGCCAAGACGGCCCACGAGGCGCCTAAACCGCCCAAGAACGCTCCGAATCGGCGCCCAAGGCGGGGGCGAGGAACCGAAAATGCATGCCATTTGGCCCAAGAGGCCTCCAGGAGACCCCAAGAGGCTCCAAGAAGCGCCCAAGAAGCCCCAAGAGGCCCCCAAGAGACCCGCAAAAACACACAAAGAGGCCCCGAACACGCCCCAAGAGGCACCCCAATAGAGTCTCAATGAGCAAAACATTTTGTTTCCTGTGGGAAAACTGATATATTTGGCGTGTTCGCCTTTTGGGCTTCCACTGCGTCCAAGACGGCCCAAGAGGCACCCAAGCCGGTCGAGGATGCCCCCAAGAGGGCTCCAAGACGGCCCACGAGGGGCCCAAGACGGCTCCAAGGGCGCCCACAGCGCCCAAAAACGCCCCGAGTCGGCGCCCAAGACGGGGACGAGGAACCGATGATTCGAGCGCGTTGGCCCAAGAGGCCCCCAGAGACCCCAAAAGGCTCCAAGACGCGCCCAAGAAACCCCAAGATGCCCCCAAGAGACCCGAGGAAACACCAAAATAGGCCCCGAAACAAACCCCCAATGGGCCCCCCAAGACGACCCAAGAGAGCCCTAGGGCGCGCCCAAGTGGGTCGACCAGAGAGTTGGTCCGACTTTCCACACTCTACACAGGGTCCGCCCCCGTCGGTGTCCCAAGCAGGTGTTGCCACTGGAGTCCTCACTTGCCTGAGACAAACTCCGAACATTGTTTCGTGCAGCGATTCCTGTGTCTGTGACACGCCGTATCCAACCTTTGCGCAATGCGGGGCATAAGTGCATCAGGATTGATACAACGGGGGCGATGACGTAACATGGACGCATGTGATTTTGCGAGCAGCAATCGGAAGGCTCGCGGACTCGATCAAGATATAAGGGCGTCGTAGTGGTTATTTACGCAGCCCCCCCCAGGGACGGCGAGGTCTCGCTCAGGCCCCCGCGGTGCCTCACTCCGCAGGACCCACCAGCAGCCTTTGACAGTGGCGACGGTGTCGCAGATCGCAGCCCCCCAGGGGCGGCGAGGTCTAGCTCTCAGTCCGCAGGACCCACCAGCAGCGTTCGAAAGTGGCGACAGTGTCGCAGATCGCAGCCCCCCAGGGACGGCGATGTCTCGCTCAGATGCCCGCGGTGCCTCAGTCCGCAGGACCCACCAGCAGCCTTCGAAAGTGGCGACCGTGTTGCAAATCGCAGCCCCCCAGGGACGGCGAGGTCTCGCTCAGATCCCCGCGGTGCCTCAGCCCGCAACGCCCACCAGCAGCCCTCGCGTCGCAGATCGTAGCCTCCCAGGGACGGCGAGGTCCCGCTCAGATCCCCGCGGTGCTTCAGTCCGCGACACCCACCAGCAGCTCTCGAAAGTGGCGACGGTGTCGCAGATCGCAGCCCCCCAGGGACGGCGAGGTCTCGCTCAGGCCCCCGCGGTGCCTCAGTCCGCAGGACCCACCAGCAGCCTTTGAAAGTGGCGACGGTGTCGCAGATCGCAGCCCCCCAGGGACGGCGCACACACACACACACACACACGCGCACACAACACAACACAACGCAACACAACACAACACAACGCAACGCAACACAACACAATACAACACAACACAATACAACACAACACAACACAACACAACACAACACAACACAACACAACACAACACAACACAACACACCACAACACAACACAACACAACACAACACACAACACAACACAACACAACACAACACACCACAACACACCACACCACACCACACCACACCACACCACGCCACGCCACGCCACACCACACCACACTACACTACACTACACCAAACCATCCCATCCCATACCATACCATACCATAACACACACACGAGGTACGCTCAAGACAAGAGGAGACAAGACGGACGCGGGAGACGGGAGGCGGGAGAAGGAAGAAAAGGACGCGACCACAATGGTCTATTCAAAACGAATACCCAACCAAAGAGGGTTGTGAATGAACAATACAATATATTATATCTATGTACACATACGTACATATAAACATACATACAGACAGACAGACAGACAGACAGACAGACGGACATACATACATACATACATACATACATACATACATACATACATACAGACAGACAGACAGACAGACAGACAGACAGACAGACAGACAGACAGACATAAATCATAATATATGTCGGCGGTGCGCCGTGGCACGACCCCCCCCCCCCAGCACTACCGGGGGGGTTCGTGCACTACCGGGGGGTTTCGTGCAGCCCGCACCGGGTGTCGCCAGCGCCTTCGAACACCCCCCCCTTGCCGCTTTACCGGGGGGTTCGTGCAGGCCCGACGCTGCGTATACCTGGGCCCCCCACCCTGTGGGAGTGGGGGGTGGGAGTGGGGGGTGGGTTGGGGGGGGGGGCAGGGGGGCGGTTGGGAAGGGTGGCTCCCTGTCGAAGTGTGGCGTGTGCTCGCCTTGTGTTCTCTATTCGCGTCTGCTCGCCTTTGTTCCGCCGCAGCCTCTCGTATTGTGGTTCGGGGCCACAATACGAGAGGCTGCGGCGCAACTCCCGAGAGCCGCTGTGGGGGGTCGACGGCACGGCCGCATAGAGAAGAACAGTGCCGCCGTGTTCCGGCACGGCCCTGGGATGCAATGCCGCCGCCGTGTTCCGGCCCGTCCTGGTAAGATTCGCGCGTCGGGGCTGGGTTTCGCGCGTGCTGGGAGCGCGCCGCTTACGGAGGGGTTGCGTCCTTACCGGGGGGGTTCGTGCAGCCTACCAGAGGAGGTCGTGTTTACCGGGGGGTTTCGTGCAGGCTCGCACAGGGAATGGCGCCAGCTCGAACCCCCCCAGGAGAGATTACCGGGGGGGGGGTTTCGCTCCGCACCGGGCACCGCCGACATGCATGTATGTATACGTATGTCTATATGTATGTATGTATGTATGTATGTATGTATGTATGTATGCATGCATGCATGCATGTATGTATGTATGTATGTATGTATGTATTTATGTATATATTTATGTATGTATGTATGTATGTATGCATGTATATATGTATATATGCATGTACGCATTTATGTCGGTGTGTATGTATGTATGCATGCATGCATGCATGCATGCATGTATGTATGTATGTATTGATGTATGTATGTATGTATGTATGTATGCATGCATGCATGCATGCATGCATGTATGTATGTATGTATGTATGTATGTATGTATGTATGTATGTATGTATGTAGGCCAATGTATACGTGTTCTTGCATGTGGCATGTATTGCATGTATGCATGTATGCATGTATCGCATGCATGCATATATGGCATCGTATGCATGCCCACGACATGTATGCATGGTATGTTACGTATGTAATGTATGCATGCGTTTCTACGTTATGTATGTCGGTATTGCAGGCAGTATTTTACTTGTATTGCATATGTAGTATGTATGCATGAATGGCATGCATGAAATGAATGAAGAATGAATGTATGTATGCATGTTATGTATGTGTGTATGCATGGTGTATGTGTGTATGTGTATATGTGTATACACAAACGTGTGAAATGATTGCGCCAACGCAAATGTATACATGCAACTGTATAGTATATGTGTTATTTACATTTAGATAGATATATATATATATATAAAAAAAATCATATATATATATATATATATATATATATATTCATGTGTACTCGTATATGCCTACGTGTACAACGCATGCATGTAACTATGCATGTGCACATACATGTGGACGCGCCTGCGCGCGCAGGGAATAACACACACATTCGCTCGCTCAACGGGCCAGAGGCGTTCAGCGAACTCCAGTAACAGGTTTCGAACGTTTCTAGTTCGCGCGCGTGTGGCGGCCCCTGTGGGTGCCCGGTCCACACTTACCCCGGGCATTATTGTTCAAGGATGCCGGAACACCTGGGTCTCGTCTTCAAGGCTCTCAGGATCGTCTCAGAGGGTCCCAAGAGGCCCCTAATACGGTCCAAGAGGGGTCCGAGACGCCCGATGATCGCTCCAAGACGCCCGAGATGGGTTCCAGACAGCCCCAGACGCCTCCAAGAAGCCCGAAGAGGAGGAGGAGGAGGAGGAGGAGGAAGAGAGGAGGAGGAGGAGGAGGATGGAGGAAGGAGGAGCGGAGGAGAGGAGGAGGAGGAGGAGGAGGAGGAGGAGGAGGAGGAGGCGCAGGTGTAGGAGCAGGAGCAGGAGCTGGAGCAGGGAACAGGAGGAGAAGGAGGAGGAGGAGGAGGAGGAGGAGGTGGAGAAGGAGGAGGAGGGGGACAGGAGGGGGAGGAGGAGGAGGACCCGAGGAGAGGAGGAGGAGGAGGAACAGGAGGAGGAGGAGGAACAGGAACAGGAGGAGGAGGAGAGGAGGAGGAGGAGGGGCGGAGGAGGAGGAGGAGGAGGAGGAAGGAGAGGAGGAGGGAGGAGGAGGAGGAGGAGGAGGAAGAGGAGGAGGAGGAGGAGGAGGAGGAGGAGGAGGAGGAGGGCGGGAGGGGAGGAGGAGGAGGAGGAGGAGGAGGAGGGAGGAGGAGAGGGAGGAGGAGGAGGAGGAGGAGGAGGAGGGAGCAGGGGTCAGGGGCAGGAGCAGGAGCTGGAGCAGGAACAGGGGGAGAAGGAGGAGGAGGAGGAGGAGGAGGTGGAGAGGATGAGGAGGGACAGGAGGGGGAGAGAGGAGGAGGGACGAGGAGGAGGAGGAGGAGGATGGGGGAACAGGAGGAGGAGGAACAGGAACAGGAGGAGGAGGAGGAGGAGAGGAGGAGGAGGAGGAGGAGGAGGAGGAGGAGGAGGAGGAGGAGGAGGAGGAGGAGGAGGAGGAGGAAACAGGAGGGAGAAAGGGAGGACGAAAGAGGAGGAGAGGAGGAGGAGGAGGAGGAGGAGGAGGGAAAGAGGAGGTAGGAGGCGGAGGCCGAGGAGAGGAGGAGGAGGAGGAGGAGGAGGAGGAGGAGGAGGAGGAGGAGGAGGAGGAGGAGGAGGAGGGGGAGGGGGAGGGGGGGAGGGGGGAGGGGGAGGGGGAGGGGGAGGGGAGGGGGAGGGGGAGGGGGGAGGGGGAGGGGAGGAGGAGGAGGAGGAGGAGGAGGAGGAGGAGGAGGAGGAGGAGGAGGAGGACCAGCGTGAACCCAAGAGTCATCAATGATGTTGGAATTCACCCTCCCTCCAAGCTCCCCCTTCATACTGCGCCGATTTGAAAGTTTCCCCAATTTCGCCACCGTGCTCGCCGCGGCCATCTGGGGTGGCGCGCGCAGGGTAAGACTCGCGGTGCCCGAGGGCGGATGGGGGCGATGTCGCGAGGGCAGAGTCGGCGCGCCGATGGGCAGCCCAGCGCCCCGTGTGGCCAGAGGGGCCCAGTACAGTGCAAGGGCAGAGCCTAACCCCCGCCCAGGGTCGCGGGATCGGGTTCCCCTTTCCCAATCTAAATTTTTAAATCGCAAACGGTGTGCTGACCCGAAAATGAGCAGACTGCATAGGACCTCCTCGAAAACAGCTTTCGGGTTCACCCGAAAAGTTTACCGGCCGACCTGAAGTGGCCAAATTTCATAGGACTTGTGCCAACAGTTTCGGGTCCAGTGCGAACGACCCGACAATGTGCAAACCGCCTAGGACCCCGTGCAAAAACACCGTTCTCGAGGTCTTCGGGCCCACTCCGACGAAACCGAACATGGGCAAACCGCTTAGAACTTCCTATCAACAACGGTTTCTCGATGGTTCCGGGCCTCGTCCGAAGGGACCGCCGATGGGCAGACCGCTCAGGATTTCCCGCGCAAGAAACGGTTTCCCGGGTGAGCCAACGGGAGCGCGCCC